AATATTGAAGTTATAAAGTGAAGTGATGAATTTCAAAATACGCCACGACAGATACATAATATAAATCATCGACTACAAAGGTAAAAGTTATATTTACTATTTTAATCTTAAGCAAGGTTAAGAAGGTAAACAAACTTTAAATTTCAGATTTAAATGGTCCTCCCGTGCATGTATTTGTTCTGTCGGTATTCTCGTTTTCATGTGCTTTGACTCATTTTGTACAGTTTGAGAGAGAAAACATATGAACGTGTTTATTGTGAGCACCCAATGTATCAAATAAGTATCAAGTCTCATAAAAGAAGTATATACAGTGTCAAAATACATAAGTGCTTTCTGTACTTGATACATGCATGGCATTGCGAACATACAATAGTACGAACTATTGATATCGCTGCAACAATTTTAAAATAAAGGTCACTGTTAAAAGTTCGGATGTAAAAGAAAAGCTTACAGTTGACGACAGCAGATGTTGCCCGTATGTGAACAACTACCAAGGTGGATTATTTCGGGGTTCACGCTAAATATAAGATTTTGAACACTCGAAAAACAAAAAAATCCAGGTATTCCAGCAAGTATTCCAAAACCGCGCCGTGTTATTGACATCCATGAAATTACATTTACAATTAAAATTAGTAATAAATTCATATCCATCTGTACCTTCCTTGGTGAATCTTTGTTTTTGTCTGGTTTTCTATATTATATATGTAAATATGTATTTATAATTTAATAAAAGCTCCTAAAAGTACATGCATTTTAAATTTTTACATATTCTATCGAATAAGGGTAGTGTAATAAACGTATAATAAGTTTTTTGATAAATCAACTAGGCATAGTTTAGCCTGTTCGTCTAAATAATATATTAGTTATACATGGATGTGTTGTTGTTGGTCTATAAGTGAATTATAAAACCAAGAAATATCAGTCGCATCAAAAATTCACTGTAAGGTGAACAAATTTAATAGAAGTCATTTCTGCATTTACCTATGCGCAAATGCTTGAATCGACACAAAAAATATGGCAAAAAATTAGTAGACATACTTACTGGGAGGTTTAATTAAATTCATTCCAGCCCTGCGATTCTGTAACTCACATTTCGAACTCACACAGCGGTTTTCGCATCGGCGGTCGCTCTCAAATCAGTCGTGAAGCAGTCATTTTATGATTTGGCATTCTGAAAAGGTGAGAGCTTGTAGTTTGTTTATCAGAATGCCAAATCATAAAATGACTGCTTCACGACTGATTTGAGAGCGACCGCCGATGTGAAAACCGCTGTGTGAGTTCGAAATGTGAGTTACAGAATCGCAGGGCAGTTAAGAAATTATCCGCAGACACGAAAAGTAACTGACACTATTAGTCAACTCTCAGATACGCGACTGGTGGAGTTTGATCAAATAAATTTTGATATACATTGATTTGAGATACAAGTCCTAAATTGGGTCTGTTAGAAAAACGTTGTGAGCTTTGACGTCTCCTCTACGTTTAAAAGTATATTATGCCTTTATACTCATTCAAAAAATAAAAATTATTAAACCATTTTATGGTTCATTGTGTTTTTACATTAGTTTTGTCCTATATACAGTGTAAACTCCATGTAACGTCCCTCTATTTAACGAGACAGCCTCTAAAGCGTCGAAATCACTCGGCTTTGGTGGTTAACTTGTCTTCCATACAATGATACACTGTACATAGCATTACAACTACCCTCAATAATGACAACAATAAAAATTACTTTTTAAGTTGCCGTAATTATTTAAAACTGCGGAGCTGTGTACGTTGTTTTGTCGCTTTATTGTCCTAGCTAGAAATAAACTCGACTGTCGGTACTCATCATACATGAACTTTCCAAGAAATCAGTTTTTTTTTTTACAAATTCCGCTTGCTTGCATGTGCTTTATCACGAAGATACCTAAATATCGCAAGATATGGTGCAAAATACGTCAGACGAAAATAACAGACTATGCGCAATAGCGTTCAAATAAGAATTGATTTTTATGTAATTGCTAACACTAGTCTGAAATAAACTTATTCTTTTTCTAATACAGATGTTTCTTTCCATTTAACGGAAACTCTTTGTAACGTCAAAATAAGCACAGTCCCTTGAGTGTCGTTATATAGAGTTTACACTGTATATACAGTCTTAAATGTATGTAAATCTTTTCTATTAGTAGAATTCGTTTTGTCAGAATTATTCATGCTTTTTTACGTTGTCTTGTGTGGATGACGTAATATATATAGGCCGCAATATAATTATCATATTCACATAAAAGCAAATCTGCATTTAAAATTTTAATAGTTGACGAAACTTTTCATACCTACGTAAATAAAAATGTTGGTTACAACTCGATTGTTTTGCAATGTCGCGCTCTAAAAAAGCGTAGGTAGGCTCGCAAACAAATTACAAACTGTAGAGTCATTGAACTCTATGTTTTTAAAATTGTATCTATTAGAAAGTACTGTTTGGTTACGTACTATGTTTATTTTTAAATTTTACTAAACCTTACCAAACAGCTTCAAAATAGTAGCATTGAATTTAGGTGAGCACAAAAAACGTGCGTAACGAATGAATATTATCATACATATTTTGTTACTTATTATTTATTCTAACCGAAATTAATAATTCGACAACCGTTTAAATTACGCTATTAAAATATAAATGCAAAGACGAAAAATAATTAATTAACACTATAAAAATCATTTAAATTCACTTTAACTAGAAGGAATGAACATTATAAAATTTTTGTAAAAGTAATAATTTACAGACACACCTTATGAGCTTGAGACCGTTCATAATATTGTATATAGCCGCGCTCGCCGCTCAGCGTTGCACGATGGCGCGGCGCCCACAGCCGAGAAGTGCGGCAACGTCGCCTTAGATAATTCGAAACGGCTCTCCGTTCTTGAGTCGCAGTCTCGACTTTCGGTACCTACAAATATGAATGTTACTTTTTATCTACCTATCATACCTATTCTATGTAGGTTTATTGATTTAATATCGCGTCCTATATATTCAATGGTATATATATATATATATACCATTGAATATATGTAATGTAATGTATGTATATATATACACATACATACATTTTGTTATTATGTAGTTATTATTAATTAATAAGTACGGGTTTATTTTTTTTAACACGATACATTTTTAAATTTAAGATGTACAATAATCTTTTAACCTTATTTAAAATTAAAGAACCCTCTGTTGAAGTAATGTAATATTGTTATGCAACTTTAGCGCGGTGACAGTACGGGGTACCATTCCGTGCGGCATTGTGTGGCTCCACCCCAGTACTTGCTTTATCGACCTGCGCACGCTACCCGGGCAATTGCTAGCTCCGACCCGCCAGATAGAAACCCTAATGCTATCCCTTAATATTGCGCCTATGTTTAAATCTTTTGCAATACCTTTTGTGCGGATTACCTGCAGTATTAAATATAAGAATACAAGCTTTTGAATTATGTTAGTTATGCGTAATTTTATTCTTAATTATTGATCTAATATTTAAAAAGCCGGTTTAATACGTACAAGTACAAACACTATTACTCAGGAGAAAGTTGGAATACTCGCTTATCAAACTTATTTTTTCTTAGTCCAGAGGTCATCGAACCGAACAAGCTGTTACGTCGCTGGGTGTGGAGCTCTGCGATATAAATAACGATTAATTTTAATAAATTCTAATAGATAGTTCGTAGTGGTTGGTTTTGAACCTTTGACGTAAATTCAGAGTGCCATGTTATATTTGCGTTTATTGTAGCCTTAAAAAAATAATCAATATAATTTATTATGTACAGTGTAAAGAGTAAATCTACTACAGCAATTAGTTTAAATATTAGCTAGAGTTGCTAAATATTAGCTGCCGATTACCATAAAGTTGGTTACAAGAAAAGCATAATATTCATCTTGAATTTAGAATTATGATATTGAATTCGTTTTTAATACAGGAACAATATTTTCAGCGTCTCTTAAAGTAAATATTTTAATAGATTTAGTTGGGATTCTACCGTAGTTATTTGTCTGATGGTAAATATTGTCTATAATTTATAAATACTTAAAAAGACGAGTATATCGAATATTATTAGATAGAACTTCATGAGTATTATATCTTTATTCAGAAAGTAGGCTGACGTCATTGAGCCGGTATAACCTCCCCCCCTCCACTCTTTCTCCGCATCCTGTTCGATACGTTTCGTGCCGGTCGCGGCCCCGCTCGGCCGTTCGTCGTCGCACTTCTACAAATGCCTTTATTATTATTATCATCACACACACACACATAAGCACCCTTACACACCGCCACAGACGCATTGAATTGGTTTCACACGGAAACGGGCACAGCGGGCGCGGCCATGTTGAAGTAAACTTGGCAACGTCGCTCTAGACATCGACCGATTTAATCATTCTTTGGTACCATATACACTCGAGCACAATAATTTATAGTTTATAAATCTTGTTATCAATATATTTTAGACTTATAATGCTTGGTTCGCCGATAATAGTATTTTTATATTAATATAATATGTACTATTTCTGTTTGTGTTTTCTGACACTATATTTTTTATGGGACTTTAAAAAATAAAAAAAGTAACAAATGGCAGGAATAACATGTTAGAATATACCTATTTAATGTGCAGAGAAATAAATTATAAATATGTATACAATGCTTTATTTATTGCCCTTCGCACAAAACGGTATCAGTTTTATTTGTGTTAAGCAAATTCTAGCAATAATTCATTACGTGTTAAATTGTCGACAAAGATGTTGCTATTTTATACACTGAATTAATTTGTATGCTGTATTTTGGCATTCAAACTTCAAAGAAACCAATTTAATAACAGCCATAAAACATTAGACAAAAAATACATTGCCGTAGGTACCTACTACTACATAAATAAGCTGAAGAAACAAGTTTGTCGAATCGGCAACGTCGCACACAGTCAGTAGATATCGGGTGAAGTGCGGCAACGGCGCATTTTTTGTATTTGCTATGCACGCAGTCAGCATGACAGCTCGACTCACAATGGAGATTGGAGACGCCAAGTGCGACGCAACGCTTCACGATCCGGGGCCGGCTAGCGAGTCAGTCGCATGCTTGTGTTCATAATTCAATATGCGTAATGCTGCGGCACTCAACAGTCGTGTTGAACTAATTATAATCCTCGTTATATTTCTATTCTTTACCGTATTGCACAATATTTCGAACGTCTTATATAATTAGTAAATTGGCTTAGCCGCTTCTTTGCACACGTGAGGCCAGTCAATTTATTTGACTTTTGTAAAATAATTTGATTAAAGAATATTAAGCCGGTGTGTTGCTTCTCTTCTGTATTAGTTTAGTTATTACTTCTAGAATTTAGATTTTAGTATGCATATTATGTGTAACCTGACTTAGTCGTTAATCGTGCTTCGGGATTAAAATCATCCTCAATCAACATCAAGAAACAGACAAACTTTTGCACAGCTTATAATCTTATTTCCATTGTTAAATGTATGTGTGTATGTTGGCCTTAATGTTATCTTAAATATCCACTCTTGGATGTTTCATTTATTCGAATGCTTATTTGTTGTACAAGGAATGTTAATGTTATCAAAGGTTAAAATGGAATTATAGTTTTTTATATTTTAGTTTTATTTAATATATATATTATGTGTTCATCAAACTTTTAATCACGCTTCACCAACTCATTGATGGCGATTGTAGTATTGATGTTCTGTAGCTTTGCCGTGTACAAACTAGAATGTTTGATGTATATATTATAATCGTTGTAAGCTATAAAGTGTCTGTTCATTGCAGTTATGGCCGAGTCCAGAATGTCAAGTTATTGGGTCGAATGGAGACCGCAAGCACGGGTGCCAGTGGGGGTTCTAATAGCGGTGTTTGTGCCACTGTTGCCTTTATGGACATCAAGTCCGCTTCGAAGGCGCATAACATCGAGCACGTGCTGGACGAACGAACACTTACCACTGAGTATTACGAGCCGACCGCGATACCCACAGCAGCGGGAGCGCCATCGGCCGGCTCCTCACCCGCCGGCTCTGGTTACTCAGGTTCATCATCCTCCGTGAATTCAACGTCAGCGCCAGCCTCCACTACGCGGTTTCATCTCTCGTGAGTATCGCTTTCAGTAGGCTAATTACCATCTGCCGGTGTCACATAAACCTATTTTAATTCTAAATTCATTTATTATCTACTATAAGAAAGGTTGATTACGACTAAGAACCGTCGTACAGGTAACTATAGTACGTTGTATGAGGAAAATGATTTATGATGCAAGCAGATGGTCCCCGCTGCGACCTGCCTAAAGACGGTGGACGGTCGCCAATCATTGTGCATTTACTGTCAGCTACTGACTAACTCCTGAAATGAAAAATTATCCATGTGTATTTGCTTCGAGCTTGCAATGTTACGGTGATTATGAATACGATTACATACTTGTCCCAAGCATGTCTAGTATTAGCATCCGCACAAAGTATTGGTGCCGCCGCCGCCACCGACCACAGCCAATCGCCACTCAAAGGATTGCAGTGCTTACTTGGATTGCAGTGGGAAAATTGCAAAAACAGTGATAATATAGTGTTGTGACCTCATGTGTTAGTGCGTTCCTCGTATGTGCATATTGGAGTGCAGTGAAATTGGATTTGCTCAACGCTCACCCGAAGATCATATCTCCTTGTGGCTGGCGGCGGTCCCAAATTGTTTTATTTATGCACCAAGTTAATAATACAACGTTTTATTTTATGTGTCTTGTCTGTACTAAAAGATAATATTAACAATTTGCCCCATACCTCACACGTTACACGAAAACGTATAGACGGATTACGAAATATAAAAATCTTTATATCAATTATAGGGCTACAAAACTTCTACTATTTACTATTATTTGCTTCGGAATAAACCACCTCGTTGTTGAACGATTTCCTTAAAAAAAATATTTAAAAATATGACCACCACAAGACTACTTTTAATAATAAATTATTTAATAAAATTTAGCATTAGCTTTCTCTACAGACTATATTTGTTTTGAATATATGTGTAATATGTTGAAAACGAAGTATGGTTTATCTTATCGTAAGCCACAATATCTTATCGTCGCTTACATTTTTATCGAGAAATATGTACTTTTAACACATTTTGTTAATTGTGGATGTATTAGTGACAGTTTTTATATTATTAATATTTTATTTTTAAAGTGACTCTCCCTTGATGTGTCTGATATGTCCTCTTTATTATTAAAACTAAATTAGTCTAATTTATACTAGAGAGAGTATTAATCGTTTCTTTCTGACAAATCATGTTTATGCTGTGATGGAAAGGAAACATAATAACATTGTAGCTCTCTAATATTTTCGGGTTTAAACGTAAAAGTGCGGGTATTTGTGTGACGTTTCTCCTAATTAAATCTTGAAGTTATGAAATTATGTAAATAATTTTGTTGTTGGAATTTGTTACTTCTAACGGATCCTTTAATTTACATGTCAATTTTTTTAATAGCTATTGCCAATTATTCGATGGAAACATTCCCTACCAAACTCTAATAAAGTAGTGCTTAGTCACGGTTATGATGATAGCCGTGTCCTCGAAACAGAAAAAATAATTCGTTTGTGGTTTGGTCAAATTTAAGACTTAATTAATACATTTTCATATTAGTAGTTTCTATCGTAGTTTCAAAATCATCAAAATTTTAACTATAATACTTTCCAATTACCTTTCATCACATTTAACAGCATTATTGTTATTTTTATTCTTCTGCTATTTTCTCTGTGCTAAACTTTGATATTCTCTTCAAACGACTAGATAAATACTGCTTACGACCTAAAAGAAACATAAAGTAATTGTGTGAGTCATTAATCGAAAGGTAAACAAGATTTTCGTAAAGTCATCGTAGCAATAATACGATTTACATACAGTGGAAATAACCGTATTCATCCACCATCATGCTTAAAACATGTATGAAGATTTATACATTTGAAAGGCCCTTGTCAAGGTCAGTAACAGAGAATAAATCTACATTTAAAGAATCGAATTATATCAAACATTACACAGAACCTCAAGACAAAACAATTATATTAATCACGTCATACATTTGTGTAATTTTGTAAGTAATAATTATAAAATGTGAGTTTAAGATCAAAATATTTGCAAGTGCAATCGCTGTGCAACCGAACGCGTTTATTACGTTCACCTTCGTCCTTCACCGCACAATCAAAGACACAAATAGTGTAACAAACGCGTCTCGCTACCTTGATGAACTCGTACTTTTCAACGTTCACGTAGAACGGTTAAATAAACGGTACACTCATTCGTGATGATTTTACACACATTTTCCTCCGAGCATAAAATAACAAAAAAAACAATATTATGAAGAAGAAGCAACAATTAAATATTTTAATTAATTAAGATTGAAACAATTCTTAGTATGACCATATTATATTATATATGTTAGATGTTGTCAAAACTTCTAAAAACATTACCAATTATGAATACTAACGATTTCTACATTTTTTAATGTAAAATAAAAAGTCAATAGAGTTCAGGTAGTATAGAACAAGTTATCAAAAATAATATTTACAACCCAAATTCTTAGTGAGATTAGAAAAATTATTTCTTACATTGTTTCTTTATCCACTATACACTGAAGTTTAAACATTCGTTAAGTTAGTCTTATTATAAAATAACGATTTAGATATGATCACATTTTTAACCTTTTGATTTAAAAGCACAAAAAAGTACACAAAACTTTTATAACAAATTTTGTTTATGATATAAATCCATATTGTAATAATATGATCCAGCTAATTCATTTTCGCTAAAATGCATTGTATTGTATATTCACATTAAGGATGTTAATCCAAATTACTAGAATTAAACTAGTTAATAGTTTCATATTATTTGAATGACTCTTAGTACACAAATTATCATACATAACTACAAATTAAATATGCATTGTGTTTAGACAGTTAAATGTTGGTAATTTGTGTTAAAAGTGTTAGTTTATTTTATATATTTTTTGTTGTTAAGGTTCTATTGGGAAATGTTTTTGTGGAAATAAGAATTTAGCTTCAATATTCAGTATTCAATGGCATTTTAACTAGAAGTACCTCTTTCCATAGAAAGGTTGGTTATGATCCATTTTTCAAATTCATAGTGAATTTCGCATCAAACGTTTCAGCCCCTACTCGAGGGGCAGCGAGCGGCAAAGCGCACTGCACAACAGCTAATATAGGCATTATTTCGAAAATATAAAGTCAAAGCATTGAGTAAATTTTATTAAATGGAAATATGAAATCTCTGATGTATATAAATATTTTTTTAATAAGCATATAGCCCCTTGAATACGGCTGGTCTTTAACAACGTAGGTAAATTGTGTTTGGTTTAGTTGAAAGAATAAGCCCAATCTTCCCTAAATTTTACATGACGTAGGTTTATATATATAAGCATTATTTTAGTGTAAGTAAATACATGAATATTACTTTAATCAATATTGACAATAACAAGATTGAATTTTCCACTCATTCCTGATTTATCGCAAGAATTATGAAACTCTGCTTAGTTACTGTCTATCCACATTTTATTACGTTTTTTTTGTTTCATATTAAAAACTAGCTAACAATGGCGCTACCTTTTATATCTGTCTGGGCCTCAGATTTCTGTGTCTAAATATTTTTCCTAATAGGAAGTAGCTTTCTGTGCCTGACACGTCATCCTGTTTTTTGGTCTATGAAATGATGGTTTTCTTACGATGTTTTCCTTGATCGTTCTTTAATGAGGGAGGTTTGAGTTTCGTTCGTGTTTGCATGAATGGACTTTCTGTCACATAGACATTCTCAAATGAGCAGAGTTGAGTTAAGTGTTAAATAACACTCGCAAAAACAATCACGAAATATATAGATACAGAAGTCTGAGGCCCAGAGCAAAACGGTTGTAGCGTTTGTTTTGGGGAACAGTTGTGTGAAATTTCATACTTTTATCTACGTAAAATACGTATACATCCTTTATTTGTTGTATGATTAATCACCAATTGCAAAAATTTAGACTGTAACACCTAGTTACGTTTATAAAGCAATCAGTACATATATTTCAATTAGATTAGTAAGTATATAATACCGACTTATTATGTACGTAATATTTTTTCATTAGCAACAGCAATTCGTTATCGCCTACGTATCAAGATAAAGATCTTTTTATATTTGTATCTACTTGATATGTTAAATTGTATTGATCCATATGTATTGTGAGCAACTTTAAATTGAATTTGAAATTGAAATTGGCCGACCTCCGTATTGTGTGTACCTTGTATTTACATAAGAAATCGAGATGGACTTTTCACCCGACTTATTAGATAGGTAAGTCAGTAAAGAAAGTACCGGTTATTCATCCAAATTTATTTTATCATGATAAAAATAAAGAAACGAAACAAGTTCGATTCATTGCCGTAACCAACGAATCATCCATCCATCGAAATATTTTTTAAACGCTTTTCCGGAATTGAGAAGGCGCCACTCCGAAGCTTGTCGACTAGTTTGCATATCAAACTCGTACACCCACCACATTTCGTCACCAATAACAATGCGTTGAGTCGAAATAGACCTGTTCTAGCATGTGTCGCGATTCTTATGCGATTGAATTTTAGAAGAATTTTATACCCAAGTTATTATTTAAAATTGTACAGATCAACAACGTGAGACAGAAAATTCAGCGGATATCTTTAACTCGAATAAGGTTTTCAGCCACTGTTTTCTTTGATTTTTCGATGTTAGCATCAGTTGAAGTGAAGCCGTTGATTGCCTACCACAGCGAGGCAAATTTTCCATCAGTTAATGGTTCGATTTTGAACGCTTTGTAAGCGCTCATACGTTCGTCTTTTTGATAAAGTCAGTTTACAAAAGCCTTCTGTAACATTTTCTAGGATGCCATTTTAATGACGATGCAAAATTTAAGACAAATTCTTTGTTTGGTGTTTTTTTAATAAAAATATCTTCTAAGTAAAACAGCAATGTATTTAAACTAAATAACATAAACAAATCAACACCGCGCTAAAATGGAAAATAGTGCTGCAAATCTAGCAAAAAATCAAACAAAAATTAAAGCTTTTTTTTAAACTTTTGATTAAA